AGAGTGTGCGATGTTGAAATGGCGTGCAAGTGCAACGACGTCGATCCCGGAAGGAAAGTTTAGTTGCTAGTTGCATTCATTATTAACGCTGATGGATTATAAATACTGACAGATTCGCAACAAAAGCTTCAAACATAGAGCATAGCGTATCCATAGTGAATAAAAAAAAAATTGTATCATGTAGAAAAATTAATTTTTCGTGGAAAAGAAAATGAAAAAAGCTTTATCGGCTCGAACGTAAATGGATTCAAAACTTTTCTAACAAAAAATTTTTAAATCATAGCAACTTGTCGAAAATTTCATTCCGTTATTATTGAATATTTAATTTCGAAAAGTCAATAAAATGCAAAATAGCATAACTGCGTTTTTTGATGCTATAAAAAAATGTTTAAATATTAGTTAAAGTTAATTAAGATATAGTGAGATTTTGTGATCTTTCTTATATATACAGTTAAAGAAAAATCGCGAACTAGCTAAAGTTCAGTCAACTTTAATCAATATTTATGAAAACGATGCTATGAATAACTTGTTAATATTATAATGATCATCTTATGTGTATGATAGCTAAAAGGCACAATTAGAAGAAATATAACTATCAAAAATAAAAATTCAAAAAATAATTACATGCATGATAGCTAATTATGCGAATTAATTTTAAATTATAAAATGTGTTATGTATATTTTGATCTTTCGTAATCTAAATGTGGCATATAAACACTTATCAATGCTCAAAATGTTTACTATTTAATTTAGTGTTTAATTCAATTATATGAGCTATGTATCAAGATATAAAATGTGTCTAAATTAATTTAATAATATAATTTTTCTAAAAAAAGACATTTAACTAATTAAAATAGTTCCTTCTTCGTCCTGAGCAGTTTACTTTCTACAACGTATATCCTTTCTAAAATTCAATTGTAAGGAAGAATTAAGGCCGCAAATCAAAGAGAATAATTCGCGGATGGAGAAATCTGAGAGTAAAAGCAATGAAGTTATACGCGGGAACAAAAAAAAGTGTATCTTATTGTTTTAATAAGAAATCAAACTTTCCAACCAAGTAATATATTCGACCTTTGTGCAGCGATAATAAGCAATTTATAGATTACTCTACATACCACGAGAATCGAGATTCGCACGCCATAGAATGCCATAGACAACGCCACGCTATAGAAAGGGATCCATTGTGTTGCTTTATTTAAGAACGTTTTCAATTGAAAGTTATTTATGTTGTCATTAAGTAATCATATTACATTCAAGCATACCGTGCACACATCTTCCTATTGTTATTCATACTAACGATCAATTTGATTTCTAGAAGAAGATAAAGATCATCGACTCCAAAATAATAGATATATTTTTCAGCCATTATTATTTCTCTTTTGTGTAAAAAAAAATCATTAATTATTTGTGTCAAAAAACACTTTATATCAATTTCTGTCGCATTTTTTACAATTAAGATTTAAATAATGGAAGCAACCATAAAATAAAAAACATTAATAGCTACTTTTATAATTTATGGATTTATAAAAACAATTTTTTTTTTGTCATATCGTAAAGATCTAAAAGTCTAGAAGTCTAAAAGTCTGTCTAAAAGTCTAGAACATAATTAGTACACAGAAAAAGAAATACTTTCACCTAGAAACCTGCCGAACAATAGAATATAAATTTAGATCATTGTTTGCGTTCTCAGCGTGTTGACATCTAATTTGATTCATTGTTGCTTGGCTTAATCGTAACAGATCTTAAAATTTCGTATGCGAAATAGAATATACATATCGCGGAGCGAGTTAAAATTTCATAAAAAGACAATTCCAACAATACAAAATAGCTGTAATAAAAAATGAAAGAAAATGATTAACTATGTAGAAAGGATGGCTAACCAAAATTATAAGAATTAGTAAAATCATATATA